TGATAATCTTGAACAGTTTTGAGCAGGCACACAGGGAGGTGATTCCACGATAATTTGCGACCTTCCGTTTATCTCCTTTTTTTGTAGACTGGGAACAGATTAGAAAGCATCCAGCGGCACGGGAACTCACATTGCTGTGCCGAAAGATTGAATAGCCTCGCAAGTGGAAGGCAGAGACTGGCTACACAACGTTTTAGAACTGATGACGGAATGCCGTCAGGTCCGGCGGTGAACGAGAGCTTCAGTTTGCCTGTGCGGCTATCACCATGACTTCTGAAATGCGCGGAATATCGAAACTAAACACATCACGTGGCATCCCAACAGTAGCATCCAGCACTTGTGCCGGATTCCTTCCGTTTGGAGTTGACAAACGACCAAACACTTTTCGGATACGTGCGAAGGTTCGCTTCATTGCGTCTCACGTGTCGATTATAGAGAAAACGATTGTAATTTCGATAAATATGACTCTCAAAATTGAACAGCCGTTTGTAGTACGGCGAGCGAGAGTTACAATAATTTCGGAGGGCAGCGTTGACGTTTTAGCACGCTTTGACGTGGGTTGGACCAAGGAGGCTTTTGCGGGGGTCGTCGTGCTGGGACAATGCGTAAAATAGCATCTTCCAGTGCAGCACTGAAAAAATCCACAGCATAATTCACGCTAGCTGCTATTTCCATAAATTGCCAATCAATTTCCGCAAGCGCATTGTTCAATGCAACATAATCAGCTCATCGAAAGTCCAAAGAGTAGCATTCAGATGACGGCGTAAAAACAATCGGCGAAGGTAAACTAAATGAAACGACGAGAGCGGGATGGTCGGCATCTAGATCAATCAGTGGCTCGACCGGCAAGGAAACAGAAGTGCCCGGTAATGCGGAATCATTTGCCAGGACAAGATCTAGCAAACGTCCATTTCGGTTCGGAGAAGTATTCGCTTGTGTGAACCCGTAAAAGTTAAAACCGTCCAAAAGAGCACAGCAAGCAACCGGCATATGCGAACGCAGTGGATCAATTAATGGTGTGCCACTGTATGTAAAGCGCCGCTGCAAACCAGCTTGATTGTAGTCGCCAAATACGAAAGCGGGAGAGCAGGGAATTAATTGAGAAGAAATCGAGCCTAACGATTCCACATGCTCACGGATGATCGTGCAGTTGTTTTTGCGTTCAAGGGGCAGGTAAATTGCGCCTACGCTAAGCTTGCTTTGTGGAAGTTCTACGACAATCCACAGCTGTTCCAGTTGATTGGAAATGGGTGACGTACTTACGTAGCTGGCTAGTCTCGTTGATACTGCAATCAGGACTCCGCCACCGCGCGATTCTTGACTGTTTAGGGAAGACCGGTCAGTTCTGAAGACGAAATAGAGTGACCCGTAAAATTGGCGATGAGTAAATTTGGTCGTCCAGACACGTTTCCGTCAGCACAATTAAATCATATTCGGCCTCCGCAACAGCCAGCAAAAACGAGTCGATTGTAGTTCTCAGCCCACGCACGTTTTGGTAGTAAATCCTGAGACCAATCGAGGAGCAATCACGGGAGTTGGAAATCGAAAGGACATCAGGTACCGAAAGCTCGGAATCGCAATCATACTCGCCTGAGGTTGCAGGCCGGAAGCCCCCGATACCATCACCGACCACAGGACCGGGACGATGAAGATGACGGATGTTAACAGCAAGCGCGACTGGGTCGGGAGGTTCGGAAGTTTCATCAGTGCCTGTTTTAGGGTGTTCCGGATCCGAGGAAGAGCAGGTGGCGGCATAAACCTGCTGGCAGTTGGCAGGACGGATGCATAGACATGATGTGGCTAGTGCGGAGGCCGCAGAACAGCTAGAAGTTGAAGCGGTATAAGGTAAAAGAGAGGCTGAATCGTCAGTATACTTGCCAGTAGTAGCTGTTTGGAAGACCCCCGACCTACATCTACACTCAGGGCCGAGACGACTATGCTGAGCGCTGGCTGGAATAAGCGCGACTGAGGCAGAGAAATCGGGGGCTTCCACAGTACAATCCACGATGCGTCTCGGTGGTGATGGTGGTGGTCTAGAAGCAGTAGAGGTAGCAGCATTATTCTTGCAGATCGTGGAAACATCGTGCATAGCGGGTTTGAAGACCCCATCTCCAATCCCACACACATATCCCGTATCCGATCATACGGTTAAAACTTTATCACATATTACGTTCCATAACCATTTCAGGTAAAGTTTAGCAGGGATTATAAGCCATTTTTAACAATTTTCGGTAAGGTCAAGATATGGTTTGCGTTTATGTGGGCGTTTAAAGTATACTTTGGTGCCATAAAACCTCTGAAAAAATGCGTGGGTTAGAAAATATAAAAAAAAAGTTCTGGCAAAATCGGGTTGCTTTAAATTGAGGTTTACTTAACAAGCTTTAAAACCCTGTTTGAAATTAATTTATTTATTTGATAAGGCTCTTGAGGATTCTTGTTCACTATACAAAACATCTTAAAACTATAGTCAAAAGATACACTTTATCTTCCGCTATCCAAAAACCTTCCTCCATCAGAACGGGATCCGCTTCCAGTGGTTTCATTGTACGGCAGTATCGCCAACGGCAGTATCGCCAGAGGGCTTCCATTGCAGCAATGGACGCAAAACGTGGTTACTCTGTTTGAAATTTTTATTTACTGAGTTAGAGTCGCAAATCGCTATTAGGTCAAGGGGGGCGACTCGATCTAAGATGCAGGAAATTTTTTGCTTTGCTGTTGTGAGATGCCCTCGCGCTTAATAGATATGATTTTGAAGATTTCCTGCAAAAAGGTGGAGAGCGATACGAGTAGATGGGTTTAGATGCTCGTAGATTGATTCGCTTTCGACCATTCAAAATCGAGATTTAGATGTGTCGCACCCCTCGTATTAGGTCGCGTTGTCACGTTGGCGGTGTTTTACGTCTAGTAGCCTTTAATAGTGACTATATTCATAACTACTGATTGTAAAATAAAAGTTTTTCCTTTGTTCGGGTCATATTCACTACGACCAATACATTGATCTTTCCGTGTACTTTGTTTAGTTCATGTTGTTGTGCCCTCATTACTGTGGAAAGGTAGAGAACTACTTCGGCCTAATCGCCCATTTTGGGCCTATCGAGCAGAAAACTTCATGTAAATCCATGATTTCAGAGTTAACAAGTCAATTATGCGTTTGGTATGATACTTTAGTTAATAAGCTACCGAACGTTTGCACCCATTATTCCCAAAAACAAAAGAAGCGCTCCGACCGAATCATTTTTTATCTTCATCCGACAGGCCGAAGTGAATTCATTGTCGTTAGACTTTTGACAATATCTCAACGATTTGTTTCTCTTTATCAAATCTTACGGTACGTATGGAAAGGTAAATAAATTTGGAAGCCATCAGTAATAATAACATTCCGTTCGGTGCTTAACTGCGCTATATTAAGAAAGACTAAATGCGGGTTGTTCTTAATAGGTCGGAAATGGGGTAGTTAACCCTATTCGTTTTCTATATAGTTAAATCATCCATACTTGCCCTTCTCACAATAAGCCTCATTAAATTGTGATGTTCCGCATTATTCAAAGCGATCTTGGACCTCTCCAAATAAGCGCCCTTTCATCAATCAAAATAAATCTTAGCGACAAAAACAAGCGATGATACTACACTGAGGCAAAAAAAATCTTAAGAATTCTACAAGACATGACTTATGAACTAAGACTATTTTGATTTCATAAGATACTTATGAATTCCATAAGCATGAGATGTATGTATGTATATATGTATGTATGTATATACAATCCAACTTCCACTGTCCGGCAGTGTTTTTATGGAAGAAAAATGTTTGCAATATAATCTATCATTATTATACTGATCTCATTGCAAACAATTTTAGCCCGGAAGTTGAAAGGTGATAGCTCTGTTGAGATTCAGTAACCCATTTCAGAATGTCTGGTCACTCACGTCCATTCCGAGGTTACTTTCACTTACAACAAGCCCCGCATACACGTAGTACCGATATAAAATGTATATTGGTACTGCGTGTACACTTCCATCATCAAAGCAATTCCTGCTTTGTAGATGGCACGTATTTAGTAGGATGCATTTCATATTTTTATATCTAGTTGTAATCAGTTAGATCTCACCGCTTATGTATTGTGTCCTCGAAGTGGAAGCATCGTAGTCTAATCTGCAAATTCATCTTTCCCGGTTTTTGTCCAGGGGCAGAACGCCAATGCTTCCGGAAGTGGAGGCGTAGCACCGGAACACACTAGCACGACGCTACAGCAACACAACTATTCAAACAAAATTCTAGCCCGGGAATTTTCACAATAATTCACAATATTAAAACACTGATAAATTAACCATAATGAATCTATATACACATGATAATAATAAAAACGAATTACTTTTTGCCTTAGTACAAGCCAAAAAGCACGCGGAAAATACGGAATTTGTGACAGCGAAATTAAAACCGACCGTTTGATGAATTCCATAAGCATGAGATATGCTTTTTATAAGCACGACTTATGATGATTATGAACGCTCATAATTCGATTCCGGTCTGCTATAGTTTTTAATATTTTTTTTAAGTTTCATAAGCTATCTTATGAATTCTGTTTCATAAGTCAAACTTATGGTTTAAATCCTTATGTCGAAATTTCATAAGTGGTTCCTATGGAATCCTAATGTTCCTTTGTCTCAGTGTAATATTTGACCATGCAGCAGAACCCTGGCCCGAACCTTTTCAGGTTTCCAATCTCAAAACCAAGGCTCACAACCGCCAGAGTTCGATGTGGTAAATTTTAGGTGATCTCCCAACTTTACCAAAGAAAGAGGAGAAAGTTAATCATGTCTACTTTCTATTGCCATACTGTGAACATTATTATAAGTTTTACACGAAAAGAGTAATCACGGGTCGAAAATTTGCGGTCACGTCCCCTGGAATGGGTCAATACGACTTCTGTTTATCTGGCTCTCATTCAGACTACATTACGATACATCACTAACGGTTGTTCATTTGATGTTTCTGTCCACAGGAACCTCTCCAGCATACAGGACCGGGAAATCTGCTGTTACAGCATCTCGTGCAAAGAGAAGGATAATATCGACATCACCCTGCAGTGGCTGATCGCCCACTCCAAGAGCCAAAGCCGTTAAGAAGTGCGGTGTCGTCGTTATTGCAGCAAGTGTGTCGGTCTGTGAGTATGTGTGAGTGTTTGTTGTGTACATTTTGCTAGTGTCTATTGGCTAGGGGATTTTTACGAACTGTTTTAAAAATCAATGAGCATGCGACGAAACTGATGGACTGATGGAATACGACTACGAGGCCGCGATCACCAACAAAGCGCACCGACACCACACACTCACCGTTTTTAGTAAGGTAAACACATGAATTTAGAAATGAGGACACAATTAGAACATTCAGCAGAACACTTAGGTATACCCGAAAAGCTCGAGGTTAAGACTCTCCTAGGATTGTTGTTAGGTACGTGGGAACCGTACGTTCTCCGAATCTCAGAAACATACACACCGGTACGATCGATCGAAATGAAAATGGGACAGCCCCGGGGATCATTGCAAGTAGGGATTAAGCAAAAAGTGGAAGATTTGCGTGAATGCGATTGATTATAAGTTGTAGCAACTAAGCAGAATCTTGTTTTTAAAATACAGTTTATTACCAAACCAAGCAAGCAAATTCAACAATACGCGGGAAAAAAAAACTGTCGTTGAAAAACAGAAGGGGAGTGATCGGGATGAAGCAGCCTAGGAACCCAAATCAATCAACAGTTAGTAACGCAAAAGAAACGCCAAATAATTCACACTAGAAAAAAATCACACAGCAACAAACTTTGGCGACACACACTAATCCGAGTTGTTGCCGCTCACACAATAATGGATGCACGCGGAAAGAAAATTCTGCTAGGAAAACAATTAAATTGAAACAAATCTGCTTTTTAGATAACTGTTGTTAATTGAGTACGTGTGGGAAGAATGAGCGGTCCTTTTTCATCAGTTTGTTTGTTCTTTTTTTTCCGATTCTGTTGTCTCCAGTCCGCCGAAAAGTTCGGTTTTCTTTCGTGGTTTTTATCCCGTTCCCATAGTTATTATTTGAATGAGTACACGAGAGCGATCTGAGTGAGGTGACCGTGCGAGCGAATTGACCTTCAATTGATAGTATAAAATATCCTAAAACAAAACACAGTTGAACACATTATTCTCTAGCGCTAACTGATATTTTTCGATGTTAAGGAACAAGAAACGAACCAACCCTTCAAAGTTTTATTTTACACATTTTAAAGGCTTCTTATTCATATACCTTATTGTTTTTTAATGTAAGCATAGAGTTCAGTTTATTTTTCTCTAATTTTTAAGATGGTCCATTTCTAACAGAAAAATTCTAGGTTTCGCGCAGTGATATGTTGAATAATGTTAAAACGTAATATAAATAATAAAATCAAGTCGATATAGATCAGAAGTAACACAATAATATCCGAATTGGGTTTAACGTTGCGATGCCATTGTCAGGAAGAGAAAAAAACACAGTTCTCAGTAATGGCTTTCTTCTTTTCTAAATTTTACTAGGTACCAAAATTGTAGTGTCATTGTCAAAATTTAAAATTCGTTAATCAAAGTTAGCTTCCCTATGTAGTAGCAGTTGAGAGAGTTGTTCGCGTTTCCAGTCTAATCTTGGGTATTATTTTCCAGTTTTTTTTTTGTTAAGTTCTTGTATGTATATGTTTTTCTTCTGGTGAAACAAATTTCAAGCGAATATATTAATCATTATGACAACAAAACGAGAAGAGACAAAAAACAAATATAGTTAGTAGATGATACAAACAACTGGAAACTAAGAATGAATATGATTAATGATAAATTGATTACTTAAACTTATACTGTATATAATGACAACATATGATAATAATAATAAAATATTATATGACTATACGCACTGCGTTTTTCTGTACGTTGATACAAAATAGAGACAGCCATGTTTTACCTGCGATTCCTAATCTGTCTTCTGAACCGGTCTGAAACTTTATCTGGACAAAAACAATATTCTCGGTTGTCTATTATGCAACGTAAGTGTGTGCCTTGGGGACCGGACTGTAAAATTAAGGAAAATTTAACTCCCCATCCTTCCTATTCATATTCCTCATGACACAGATTTCTAGAGCATGTCGTACTTGATAGATCGGGTATTAGCACAGACAAACAGACATAACACATTTAATTTTTGTCACTAAAACATTACCGCCATCTGGTGGACACTACGCTGAACAGATGGCGGTAGTGTGTAAACGTCAAACGCAAGGGAAAAGACTATGCGCGCCACAGGTGGCAGTACTACAAACTACAATACTTTTACTTACTCTCGATGAACAACTTGCGAGAGTTATGACTGCACAGGGCTGTTACAACAGGCGCGGATTTCGCGAATTTCGCGGATTTGTCGTTGTTGGCATTTGGCTCTCAATTTTTAACCGGTTCAAACCAAACACCCTGTAAATAATCGAGAAATGATCTCAATTCCATAAGTTACACCGGATTTACACGGAAATTCCCTGGGGTCTGCCCAATGTGAGACATGTTCATGGTTGTTTGTTTCCAATATGAACATAACATTTTTCATAATATAATGAGAGAGAGAAGGATTAGTATTTTCCATTTAATTCCACTACTTTATTTGCTTATCCTTGACAGATACGCGTATTTCGTCTACAATGTGCAGACTTCTTCAGTGTCGACAGTCGAGTATTAGTACAAGACACTGAAGAAGTCTGCACATTGTAGACGAAATACGCGTATCTGTCAAGGATAAGCAAATAAAGTAGTGGAATTAAATGGAAAATACTAATCCTTCTCTCTCTCATTATACAGGTATTCCACTAAGACGCCCACATTCATCAGGATAACATTTTTCGTTATCAAATCATAAACAAATCGTATACATGCGAGTAATTGCCATCTATACCGGATATTCTAGGTTCTCTAAATCGTCCTTGAGTTCAGTTGATTTGTTCTACTATATCAACCAGGACTGCAATGATGTCTGTAGTATCGAAATATGTCCAAACAGATTCAAAGTGCCTATGTGGATCGTGTCCGACCTATTGCTACGTATACAAGATGTTATAGGTTCTGAAGTCATTCTGGAGATCAGATTATTTTTCTACTAGATCACCCAAGACTAATTAAATACCTGTAGTATCAAAATATGCCCAAACAAATTTGCAGTGTCTATGTGGATCATGCCAACCTACTTCCGGGTATGCCAAATGTTCTAGGATTTCCAAATCGATGTTTCGATACTACCAATATTATCCCAGTCTTTGTTGATTTAGTAAAAAACATCATCTGAACTGCAGGAAGATTTGGAAATCCTAGATCGTCTGGTATACGTGGAAATAATTAAACATTATCCATATAGTCACTATGAATCTGTTTGGATACATTTCGATACTACAGACTTTATCCCAGTCATGGTAGATCTAGTAGAATAATGAACTCCAGAACGATTTGGATAACTTAAAATATCCGGTATACATGGCAATAGTACATGCATGATCCACATAGACAATGTGCATCTGTCTGGAAATATTTCGAAACTAAAGACATTGTCTCAATCTCGGTTGATCTAGTAGATCAAATTGTCTGAACTCCAGGACGATTTGAAGAACCTACAACATCTGAATTACTCGGAAATAGATCATGCATGATCCACATAGACACTCTGAATCTGATTGGACATTTTTCGATACTACAGACATTATTGCAGTCTTGGTTGATCTAGTTGAACAAATCAACTGATGTCCTGGACGATTTGGAAAACCCATAATTTCCGGTATACATAGTAATAAGTCGTGCATGATACACAAAGTCACATATATACAATTCGGTTATGATTTGATAACGAAAAAGTGCTAGGTTCATATTAGAATAAAAAAATTTCATGAAGATGTCTCACCATTGGACAGACCCCAAGGAATATCCGTGTAAATACAGAACCGTGACGTAAACAACAACTGTGACTTATGAAACTCTGGTAATTTCTCGATTATGTGCAGGGTGTTTGGTTTGAATCGGTTAAACATTGAGAAAACAAGTGTCAAATTAACCACAACATTTAGGACAGCAACATACGTTTAACTTTCAAGAAAATTTGCATTTCAAATGAAATTACATTCATTTTTTGAAAATAATGTTTCATCAAATCTAGGCCGGTATTATTCAATAGAATTTCATAATGTAAGGGTCTTATATTAAGTTCACTAATTACTCAGAATTTATACTATACATAAATAATTGAAGATGATACATTGTTATTTTTTAGGTTACAAACGATACTCCTTTAGCTCAGTCGGTAAAGGCGCAGCTACAAAGCAACTCCATGCTGGAGGCGACTGAGTTCGTTTCCCGTCCGGTCTATTAATTTTTCGGGTTGGAAAATTTCTCTACTTTGATACTAGGATGGTACAGGCATATAAAGCTCTCAATTAAAATGTGAAAGTACTTCAAAGAACACTAAGTTGAGAGCAGCTTACAATAAGCTTGAAATGCCATGTAGTACCTACCTAGTATACAAATGGTATTTTTAGGTAATGAAAATATTTTTTTTTGTCGCGGATTGTATTTGAAGTCGCGGATTTCATTTGAGAAATCGCGGATTTCGCGGATCAAATTTATAAAAACTTGTAACAGCCCTGCATATCAATGGTTGCTACTGCTACTCAACTGGTAGGTAGGATTCGTTGTACCAGGATTGATAAATACTGTAATTTCAATGCCGAATTAGAATAAAACGAGTGCTTCTTGTTTGATGGTTGAACATTGACTGATGGTTTACTACGACCAAACAACTCTCGCGTCACTTTTCAAAAGGTCCTAAGTAATAAATGTAAACAAATCGAGATAAGCGATACAAAGTATTGCTCTTCTATCATTGTATGTGATACAAAAACATCCATTCAAATTTACTTTTATTTATTTAAGAAAACCATTGATCAAAAATTGTCCAATGTACAGTTTGAAATGATGGGTAAATGATTGTTACTTCGGTCATTCGGACTGCCTAACATGATTGGTGCTCATTTTCCAAAGGCGGGGCCAATCTAAAGTTAGGTACTATACTCTGAAATCTGTGAAAGGGAATCTAGTATCATGTAGACAAAACGTCCAATGTATCACTCATTGATTATGTCATTGAGAAAAATCGTCCAATGTAACATGTCCGATGTACAACTCAACTTGTCAAAACGTCCTTTGTGGTTTTTTCTATGTTGTAGCATGAAATTCAAAGTAAAATTGTGATATTACCGTTTCTTCTGAATTTTCAACGTTATTATACACTGACTACATTAAAAATAGTATTGAAAAATGTATTGTTTTTAAACAGTTAAATTAATAATCTGTCGAAGTTCAACTTCGATTTTCTCAAAATGGTGGATATGTTACATTGGTCTATTTGAAAAGTGACGCGAGAACTTATAGCTAATTTGTTTATTATCGGGGTTGGAATCAGTTCCAACCCAGTGCGAAACCGAACTTTTTGTCAGTGCGAACCTTAACCTGAGCTAGGTTTTAATAACAAACGAGCAAACTGACGTTTGTCAGAAAACAAGCAGACCCAATCTAGATACCCGATCTGAATAATAAACGAATTCTGATAGAAACGTCCTAGACAATCTGAATGCACGTATATTCAAAGTAGTTTTCGTGATATACAAACATATGTATAAACAAAAAATTCGTATAGAATGCAAAGAAATGGCTTATACGTACAAAAGTGGAGGCCATATACGTGCATATTTTAATTTAATTTTAAACGAGTTGATTTAACATCATATACGATTTAATCTGCAATAACAAATTAATTTTGAAAAGTCTTACGGTGTAATCCGATTTAATTTGTGATACAGTACGACGGAAAAATGAGTCATCGCATATAAGTCGGAAATTTGCATTCTATACGATTTAACTTAAACATAAAGGGTGATACGGTCAAAATTTGGTCAAGGGAAAACGCGTGTAAATCGGTGAAATCGTTTATTTAAAAAATCAAATTAAATTTCTTTTTCAAGTTCAATTAGTATAAAATTCAGGAAAAATATTCAGTTAGGCTTCCGCTTTTCTAAATCCGAATTGCCGGGCCTTACGCTTGACCCCTACCATCAGATTTTGTACAGCCACCTTGTCCACCTTCTTCGCCGCAGAAAGCCAGTTTGCCTTGAACTGCTGCTCGCCCTTAGCAGTTTTTTTGGTCTTCTTTAGGTTCCGCTTGACAATAGCCCAGTATTTCTCAATTGGGCGGAGCTCTGGCGTGTTGGGAGGGTTCTTGTCCTTGGAAACCACCTGCACGTTTTGTTGGCGGCGTACCACTCCATGGCCTTTTTACCGTAATGGCAAGATGCCAAATCCGGCCAAAACAGTACGGAACAACCGTGTTTCTTGAGGAAAGGCAGCAGACGTTTATTCAAACACTCTTTCACGTAAATTTCTTGGTTGACAGTCCCGGAAGCTATGAAAATGCTGCTTTTCAAGCCACAGGTACAGATGGCTTGCCAAACCAGATATTTCTTTGCGAACTTTGACAGTTTCATGTGCTTGAAAACATCTGCTACCTTTCCCCTTCCTTTTGCCGTATAAAACTCCTGTCCCGGAAGCTGCTTGTAGTCGGCTTTGACGTAGGTTTCGTTGTCCATTACCACGCAGTCAAACTTCATCAGCATCGTCGTGTACAGCCTCCGGGATCGCGCTTTGGCCGTCGTATTTTGTTTATCATCGCGATTTGGAGTCACTACCTTCTTGTAAGTCGATAGTCCGGCTCGTTTTTTGGCTCGATGCACGGTTGTAGACGATACACCCAGCTTATTTGCAGCATCTCGGAGAGAGAGGTTAGGGTTTCGCTTGAAACTACCGGCAACTCTCTTTGTCGTCTCAGTGGCTTC